TGCTCGGCTTTGCCCCGGAGGGCAGGGGTCGTGGGGTTTGCCGCGGACATTTCTGGGCGGGGGGGGATCGGTGCGTCGGCCACCATTGGCTGACGGTTTTGGGGACAGCCGGGCCTCGCCCAGCCGGGCCGGTTGCTCCCCCCCGCCTTATCTGGAGCCCCTGGTCTGCCTTGTTCTCGAGCAGGGCTCGCCAGGGTCTCCGGTGCTTCTTCGTCTTGCCTGTGGCGACCGTCGTCACAGCGCGATGACCCGCTCGGAAGGACGCCTTGTCACACGTCTCGGCCGCCGCAAAGACAGCTCTTTCTCCGAGGCTACTTCCCGCTGGGCTGCAAGGACCGCCGCGGGCAGGAGGGGGCGCTGGGACGAGGCCAGCGGGGAAGCGGCTTCGGAGAGAGGCCAGCTTCAAGCCCCCCTACTCTGCACCAGCTCCCCGGAGCAGCCTCGCTGGGGAGCCAACAGGCCACGGACCGCTTCAACTGGAGCTAGAAATAGAACCGCTGATCCACCCCCCCCCCCCGCCGCCGCCGCAAAGCCAGCCTGCCTCCTGCTTATCCGTGGGCAGGCTGCTGGGGGCCGGGAGGGGGCTCGACTAGCCATGTGACCCTGACCTTTGTCCAGCTGTCCCACCAGACAGCTTTCTGAACCGGGGTGGAGGACAATCGGACACAAATGAGGGCTGCCATTTAGGGGAGGAGGTGAAACCCTCCCAGGAGGAAATTCTTTTCCACACAATTTTGTCCCTCCCAGGCGAAAGTCAGACATCATTCCTGCAAACGTCCCCGAGACAGTCAGATATTTAGCCTTGAATGGGAAAACTAAAGAGTTGGAAGGGCAGCTTGGGGACATCCAGATCAACCCTCTGCTCAGTGACAGAATTCAGATGAAAGCCACCTGGCGCATGTCTGGTCCCTGGTTCCCCTGCCAAACAGCTCTTATGGCCGGCAACATTTTTCAGCCCTTCCCTCCAAGTCTCGGTGGTTTGGAGCCCAGATTCTCCCCTCCAGCCAGGGAGCTCTTGGCCTGGGCTGAGGGGTCTGAAAGGAGCTGCTTTTCTCCAGCCCTGAGAAACCCTTGCAGCTCCCTGCTCTCTACTCCCAGAACGTGGCTTTTAGTCCAGGTTCATCTTTGGCACTTTTCTCTGGATCCTGCAAGACAATGACAGCTTCTTGTTTGGAAATTACTCTTTCATTGATGTAAGGTAAAATTGCCTGTGCGGGTTTTTGGCAGCCACATCACTGCCAGCTCCTTTTAGCTTGCAATCAGCTCCTATTCAGTGATCTCTTTGCCATTATTATTCCCAAACTAGGAATCCCATCCGGAATTCGGCTATCTGATTTCTCTGTCCACAATCAAAACTACTGCATTTGTCTGCTAAGTGTCATTATTTGTAAGCGGTTTCTAACTTGTCCAGATCTGTTTTGGTTGTTGACAGTCTTCCCCATATTGTGCTGCTTCAGGGTTGCTCCGAGGCTGTGGCCAGATTGGTGTGCCTTGACCCCGAGGCCTTTGTACCCAGGGAACAGCAGGAGAACAGGCAGCGATTGCTGGAGCTTCGCTGGGATTGCATTTGCCTGTGTTATGGGCCCATCTGGGGCTTAATAAATGATGGCCAACTTCAACTCCTTCCTCAGTACTTTTCCCTAAAGGAAAGCCAACGACCACATGACTGGACTGCTCTGCAAGATTGCTGTAACCTCACTAATTCACCTGTAGCCCCCCACAAATGAGCATAACAGTACCAGGGTTCTCTCACGCTGGGATCAGCCTTCAGAGACGCTTCACCTGGGGAACCAGCAGATCTGACAGAAGGGAAGATGCGCTGCCATCAGAGGCCCAGAGAGCTCGCACAAGACCTGGAGGATTTCCTGGCCACTCCCAGCTCACCGAGCCACCCCCAGCTCCCTCCGTGGCTTAAGTCTCCCACAGGCCACTTGGGTGGCTGCAATTTAGAAGCCACAGAAATGATTGCATCTCCCACGAAGCAGCAGCAGCTCCTACCCCTGAAGTTTAATTCTGCCTCTCCTTGATTTTGTGGACTTTCCTCGCTCTTTTCAGCTGTGGAGCTGCACAATTAACATGGTCGGCCTCTCAGAAGCAACTCAGGGCAACACACAATGAAAACAACAAAACATTAAAAAAGGATCAGTCATAAACGGTAATAAAACACAAAACTATCCTGCTAAAGCAGTCCAATAGTCAGAACTATAATCCCGGCCTGCTTCAAAGTCCTCCTGCCCCAATGCCTGGGGAGGACCCAGGACTCTGCAGGCCTCTGAAAGGCAAAGGGGCTGGACCAGAGCCCATTTTCCGCCTCCCCTGAAATGGCAACAGGTGACAGGGACAGGAGAGGGGGGGAGGGAAAAGCATCGTGGGACTTCATAATGGGTGGTTTAGAAGTCAAATGAAGCCATAGAAGAACAAAGTACAAGATCTTGAGGTTGTCCACCCAAAAGTTCTTGAAGGAATCAAATGCCTGACTTTCCGGAAAAATACAGGAAAAAAGTGCCAGCAGGGTCGCTGGAGCTCCAGTTACTTCCAGGTGGCTCAACTGAACCTTCCTGCTGAGAAAGCTCCAAAAGAGAGTTGTTCCATCCACCTGAGGAGGATCAAGCCTCTGGGGGAACATCTGGATGGATCCCACCGAGGGGAATCCTGGGAGTCTCCCTGCAGGGCCGAGCATCCTTTCCACATTTCAAGCAGCTGGATTTCTACAAGCCTTGGACAGAGACCCTTGGCAGTGGGGGAGGGGGAAGAAGCGTTTGCCATCACCAGGATCCAGGTGGGGCTCCTCCTTTAAGTGAGTAATTGATGCATGTTGGGAAAAAGCCCTCAGTGTTGCATCTGATAAAATGGGGTCTGAGCTGCCTGAAGCTCAAAGATCTCAGGGTGAAGGTGAGAGCCGTGAAAAGGGCCAAGGCCATACCAGGATCATTAGGAAGGCCTCAGGAATGTGGATGCCAGCACGGGATGATGTCCGTAGAGGAGTTGCCTCCATCTCCTCCAAAGGGCAGGGATCAGCAAACAGAGGCTGCAAAGTCCGATATTGATGGGAAAAAAACTGAGGCGCGAGTCCAGGAAGGGTGAACCATCCCAGTGGGCAGCTGGTGGGTCACCAGCTAAATGTGAGGCAACAGCAGGGCTTGGCTACAGAAAAGGCAAGTGCCCATTTCCAGGCCTGGAGCCAAAATCTCCCTGGGAACGGCTGGAGGCACTTCGGAAGGCTGAGCCTGGAGAAGAGATAAAATTGACTTGCTGTCTTCAAGAACCTGGAGGCAGAATTGTTGCAAGAAACCAAGAGGTTGAACAGATTTCAGCTGGATCTTGGAAACGGGCTTTCCCGGGAGTTGACCCCCCCCCCTCTCCCCACCTTGCTCAAGGCCTTAACCAGAGGCCTGAGGATGTTCCGTCTGAGAGCCAATTATGGTGGATTCTTACGTTGGGCAAAGGGTTGGGCTAGATGGCCTCAAGCTCCCTTCAAACACTTCCGTTTGATTCTCCTCTCCCTCCCAAGTGCTTTAGGAATCCCGAAGGGAGCGAAGTGGGTCTGGGTCGAATCCTGAGGGTGGGGAGCCCTTGGCCAAGGGATGAGAAGGCCCAGCCAAGTGACTGGAAGGGGCCTCTTCTCAAGGACATGTCTTGACAAGACAGAGCCCTTCCCCTCAAAACGGGCACTGATGCAATCCAGAAGAAACATTTCAGAGAAATTGACTCTGTGGCTGGGTGACAGCCCCCCCCCCGCCCCTTTCCCCCGAAGGGAAAAAAAATATTAGACTTCCTACAAGAGAAAGAGAAATGGCTGGGCTGGGCTGGGACCTTCTTGCAGTGCCTGTCCCAAGGGCAGGTGTGGGGGAGGACAGTTGTTGCAGACTTGAAAGATGGAGAGGATTTCCTCCCCCCCTCCTGTTCCCTGTTCTGGGGCCCTTGGAGTTGATCTTTCTGGACCGGGCATCCCTCAGAGAATGCACCATGTCCCCCCCAAGCCCAGACCTGGTGCTGCAGGGATCTTGGGGGCTGGTGAGGGCCCCAGAGCCCAGCTGCTCTGTCTGAGTTTGCTCATTTATTATCAGCCTTTCAGCAGCTGGGGGGGTGGGCTGTCTTGCTCTTGCTCCACAAATGCTTTGTCATCAAACCTGCAGGAGAAGCGGCTTCTGCAGCCCCAACAATGCCCTGAAACACTCCTGTTCAGACCCTGGCTGGTGCCCTTTTTTCTGGTTGATGTGTTTGCTCTGAATGTGTTTATAAGTCAGGAGAAAGGAAATTATAATATATCTGAGTCCAAGAATTGCAAGGGGGGGAGGGGGATTTAATGTCCTGCATTCTGGAACGGCAGAGAACAAGTCTTGACTCAAAACCCTTCTCTTCTCTTCTCTTCTCTTCTCTTCTCTTCTCTTCTCTTCTCTTCTCTTCTCTTCTCTTCTCTTCTCTTCTCTTCTCTTCTCCTCTCCTCTCCTCTCCTCTCCTCTCCTCTCCTCTCCTCTCCTCTCCTCTCCTCTCCTCTCCTCTCCTCTCCTCTCCTCTCCTCCTCTCCCTTCCCTTCCCCTCCCCTTCATCCCTCCCCTCCTCTCTCACACCCACACTCAATGTTCTCAGGGGCTTGTCCACCCAACTTTCTCTGTCTTCTTCAGGGGGAGGCGGGTTTGGTCACCAGACACAGTTCTAGAGAAACTGCCTGCTTTGTAGGGCACTTGGGAGTATTCTGAGTCCAGGAGAGCCTCGGGGTCGTGGTGGCCTTCAGAGCTTTCGCATTTGCAGACCAAATCATCCACAGCAAAGTCCCTGCAGGATCTCAGTGAAGCCTTTGAGGGATGCTTCTCAAGCTGGGTGGGTGGGTGTGGGAGGGAGGGCGAAGAAGCTTCAATCACGGCTGGGGGGGGGGCAGAGAGGCATTTCTGTGGCCTGAGTAGTTCAGGGCCCTTCTCTGCAGTCAGCGAGATGGGGGTGGCCTCTGCCTGCCTGCTTGGGTTGATGGTCCTTCTTCTTTCTCCCCCTCCTCCCCTCAGGTGGGCAGCCTCTGACCCCTCCCCGCCACCAGCCCGTCCAAGATGCCGGAGCAGAGCAACGACTACCGGGTGGTGGTCTTTGGGGCCGGGGGTGTGGGCAAGAGCTCGCTGGTGCTGCGCTTCGTCAAGGGCACCTTCCGGGACACCTATATCCCCACCATCGAGGACACCTATCGGCAGGTGATCAGCTGTGACAAGAGCGTCTGCACACTGCAGATCACTGACACCACCGGCAGCCACCAGTTCCCAGCCATGCAGCGCCTGTCCATCTCCAAGGGCCACGCCTTCATCCTGGTCTTCTCGGTCACCAGCCGGCAGTCGCTGGAGGAACTGCGGCCCATCCACCAGCAGATCGTGCAGCTGAAGGGTGGCGGGGAGGCCTTCCCCATCATGCTGGTGGGCAACAAGTGCGACGAGACCCAGCGGGAGGTGCAGACGCCAGAGGGGGAGGCCGTGGCCAAGGAGTGGCAGTGCGCCTTCATGGAGACCTCGGCCAAGATGAACTACAATGTCAAGGAGCTCTTCCAGGAGCTGCTCAACCTGGAGAAGCGCCGCAACATGAGCCTCAGCATCGACGGGAAGCGCGCCAGCAAGCAGAAGCGGACAGAGAAACTGAAGGGCAAGTGCAGCCTCATGTGAGTGGCCAGCCGGCAGGAGGCACCCACCCATCCCTCACCATCCATCCGTCCGGTCACCTCCACCTCCTTCCCTCTCCTGTGGCCCGGCTCTCTTGGTGCTCCCCAGACCCTGCGGCCTCCCCTCCTGCCCCTCCAACTCCCCAGCAGCAGCGGACTCGGACTGGAGGACTCAGCTGGCGGCGGCTCAGGCCTCCCTGCAAACTGACAACTCAGCCAGACTGTGGTGAGCCCCCTCCCCTGCCATCCCTGGAGCAAACCTCAGTGGGAACAGAGGAAAGAAGAGCTGCTTCTGCTCAAGGGGGATTTGCCCACTGGCCCACCCTTCCTCAGACTGCCAGACGGGAGGGGCCGAAGGTGCCCTGACTGACTTCGGCCTGATGATGGAGAGCCAGCGGTCCAGCCTGCCCATCAGCCTGAAGCTGCAGAAGACTCTGGATTTGGTCAAGAGGGGCCCTTGGGTGACTGCGACCCTCCCAGGTCTGCACAAACACCGGGGGGTGGGATTGCTTGGCTTCTCACCAGTGAGACCCACCTCACTCCATCACCCTTGCCAGACCCCAGCCTGCCTTTCTTGGTTTCATCACCCAGGCCCTGCTGGAGGCCACTGAAGTAGTGCAGGGCCCCAATGGAGGAGTCCACAGGGAGAGCCCCTCCCCACTCCAAAGAAGGCCCCTCTCACTGCCCTGGTGCTCCAGAGCCAGCAAAGCAGCGCCTCCCAGGAGGCCATCCCTCCATCTTTCCCTCCCCCATATGCCATGCCAGACAGTGAACATGCAGCTTATTGTGACCTACCCTTATCATTATTTATTTTTAATTTATGGGTGTGTTTTTTTCTGGAACAAAGCAACAAAAACGGCCACCACAGCATATATCTGGATCAGGAAGGCCGGGAAAGGACGGCCCTGAATGGGCTGGAGAGCCACAGCTGAGCCCACCAGCCACAGCTGGCAAAGGGCAGTACACGGGAGCAACATCGGCCGTGATGGGGGACAGAGGAGGTGGTGAGCTGGGTGACCGCTCGGAAGCAGGTCCCCTTGGGCAAAAGAGCCGGGGAGGGGGAGCGTGTGCCTCCAAGCCTCCATCTGCTGGAGACTCCCAACACGACACCACATCCCATCTACCGAGAAGGATGGAAGCCACGAAATGGGTGGTTAGGGGACACCTGGCACCGTAGCTTCTCCTCCTGCCCACCTGCAGGATCACAAGAGCCCCCCGCCCACAGCTAGAAGAGGCTGAACGGGCACCCCCTCTCGCCCATCTCGCTCTGAGGCCAGAGGAGGGAGGGCTTCCTGCAAGGAAGGGAGGCCTCCTTCTCTGTCCCTGGCACGGAGAAGAAGGGCACCTTCCTCATTCCAACAATGCCCTGTAGGTGCCCTTCAACATGGTGCTTCACTTTTCTTTTTTAAAATTGCAGTGGAAGAAATTGTGTTTCATGGTTGTAAAACCAGGACTGGAGGTGCACAGGCAGTGACTGCCATGAAAAGGGCGAGTGTGCGTGTAATGCCTTCTCGTGCACAGGGGGCGTGTGCGTGCATGCACTCGTGGGCAGGTGGAAGGCTGCCTCTGCATCAGTTTCTCCCCGCCAGTCTAATTTGTTTGGCATTCATCTCCAGCCCCTTCCTCAACTGGTGACTTAGAGTAGCTGGCAAGACAGCTGGGGAGGGGGCAATGGCCAGGGGGTCCTCCCTCCCACCCACCCAGAGGCCAGCTCTCTATTTGCAAACTCTGCAAGGATTTTATTTATTATTTATTTATTTCAATTTGTATACCGCCCTTCTCCTAGTGGACTCAGGGCAGTGAACAGCCCTGAGATTTTGCAAGATCTTTAGGGGGGGGGCAATTGCAAGAGACCCTGGGCATTTTCTGCATTGTCCACTTATGCCAGCTGACAAAACTCCCAAGAGGAGGGCAGGAGGCGGCTCTGCTTTGTCTCCATGCAGCTGATGGTGCAGGCCGAGCTCAGCGCAGGGCAGGAAGATGCTTTTCTCCTGGCTGTGGTTTCCCCACCCGCTTGGGAAAGCTCTCAAAGCATGGGGGAGGGGGTTGAGGGGGAGGGAAAGTGGCATGGGCAGAAAGCCTTGCTGTGCAGGAAAGGGGGCCTGTGGGATTCTGGCGTAGCCTGCCCTCCCTCCACCCTCGCCAGGGTTCTTCTCCTGCATTTGGGCCCCTGTGTGTTTCCCCCCCTACCCACGGCCTGCCTTCCCTCCCTCCTTCACTGTGTGAGGCGCAGAAAGAGATGGATGGCAGCTGCTGCCCAGCACCCTCCTGTCCCTGGACTCCAGCCTGGGCAGGGCAAGTGAGGCCTCCCTTTGGAGTGGAAAGATCTGAAGCTCTTTGCCAGACGCTGCTGCTTCAGGTCAAGGACTGGAGCTCCTTAAGTGCATCTTAATTCTTTCCAAAGGGATTAAGCAGAACCACTGCTGAGGACTTCTCCCATGGACCACCTTGGCTGCCAGCCGCCCCTCACCCACTCCAGAGGTGCCTCAGACCAGTCTCTGGGGAGCACCACTGGGACTGCCCACCCGCAGCGTCCGAGCGAGGCTTCTGCCCTGCAGGCCTGCAGCCCCCCAGGGACCAAGGAGACTGACTAGGAAGCGGCCCGGGATCCTGCTCACTAGGCTGCCTGGCGGGACTGGGCTCGAGCTCCAACCCCCTCCCCCCGAAGGCGTGGGGGGGGGGGGCGGTCTGCCGCGGCCGGTCTTGGTCGGGACGGGCAGTGGAGAGCAGATCCTTCGGACACGGGGACTCTAGCACGTTCCCTTAGCGAAGCCGTCTGGCCGGTCCTGTTGGGGGCTTCTGATGGGAGGGGGGAAGCCGCTGAAGCCGCTGTTGGGATCGAGGGGGGGGGAACCGGCCCCTCTAGGCTGAAGAGCCCATTTGCCACGGGGTGGGGGGGGAGTGGAGGGGGGCAGCCCTGGGTAGACGAAAGCAAGCGACCAGCGGCGGCGGTCCCGGGGGCAACTCCACGCCCGTGCCCCGATCAGCTGCCCCCGTTCTGTGCGCGTGCTCCGAGCCCCGGGGGCGCCTTCGGGCCCGGGGGAAAGCCTCGGGCGTTCTCGCAGCTTCTCAGCTTGTGGGCCGCCAGAATTCGCCGCAACCCGCGCTGAAGCCGTTCCTTCTCCCGTAACCTGGTACCCTCCGCCGCCCCCTCCCATCCCCGGCTCCCCCTCCGCCTGCTGCTGCTACACCGAAGGACGGGCGCGCGCGGAGCCTCCGCCGCTCCCGCTGGGCAGGCCAGCCGGTCGGTCCGAGGGCCGGCAGGGGCCGCGATCTTCTTCCAGCCCCGGCGGCGGCCATCCCTGGTGCTCCTGACCTTCCCGGCCGGGTGAGCGACCCTGCCTTGTAAATACGACCCTCCCGACTAGTTTTCCTCTCAGCGGCCAGCATGACGATTCGAGCTACTGTGCAAAGGGTTTTTTTTAAAGCGAACGAGAAACGCACACCCCGACACGTGAGACAAAACGACAATATTATAACAACAATGTCATAATAAAGCGGAGATAAACGAACGGTACAATGTAGCCTTTATTTAGAAATAGTCTTCCTTGAATGAATAAAAACGGATTTATCCCACCCGCCTCCCCATGGCTGGTCTCATTCTTCAGGGCCAAGGGGCGGGCGGGGGAAGTGGCCAAGCGCTTCCCGGGGCAGGAACTGCTGGCCAGACTAGGGACACCCACCCCCAAATGTGGGCCCATTCCCCCTTCCTTGACGGGTGTCCCGGGGCTCAACTTCAGGCCCCATAAGCAGCCCTGGCGGGAGATGGCTCTTCATCCTATAAGGACAGATGGGGTGGAGGAAGACTGCCCCCTCCCAAGAAGAGGAAGATGGGGGTGGGCGCTGGGAGTAGGGTCGGGCCACACCTGGGCACTTCTGTCTAACCAATAAGGCCATTTCAGATGGCATCTTTGCCCCCCGCCCACCCTCGCCCCCAAACAGAGGTTCTCAGCTGCTAGATTGGCAGGTGGGCACTCTTCCGGCACACGAGTGACCTTGGCAAACCGCTCCCCACATCTGCATTCTGCCCAAGTTACAAGGGTGGGTGGGTGCCCCCCAGTAGCACCCCTGGCCAGCAGCTCCCCCCCCCTCGTAGGTGTGGTTTTCTCTGCCCTGCCAGGCTCTGATGCTCATCTGGTGGACCCAAAGTGCGTCATCCCACTGTCGCCATGGAGACCAGCGGTTCCTCTGTGTTTGAGAGCTGCTCCTGGGGACGTGCAATGAATTGCAAGGAGGAGAGAGCGTTGGTGCTGGGGAAGGAACTCTCCCCACCACCACACACACACACACACACACACACACACGTGTGCCCCTCCCTCAGCAGATGGTGTGAGCGGATGACGTCAGTTCTGGGGGGAGGGTGCCTGGCATCCCTCCAGTCTCTCCAGAGATGGCTCCTCCCTGCCAGATGAGCCCAACCTGAAAAGAAACGGGCAGCATCTTGCCAGGCAAAAGGCTGGCAGTTCTCCGGTCACTTAGTTGTGGGATTAATGCCCAGAAGGAAGCTGGATCAGCCCTTGGACAGGGCACCACTGGGATATGTCAGACAACACTTGGCTCCTCTAGTGAAGGCCTCCTTCCCATTTTCCTCCAGGGGGTCAAGTCTGCTCCCTTTATTTCTGCAGGGGGGAGGGCTAAGTCCCAAGCCCTTCACCCAGCCTCCAAGGCTAAACTGGGCTTGCACCCACACCTCCCCAAATTTTCCAACGCTTTTGTTACTGCAGCTCCCCTCCTTGGGTGGCTGGAAGTAAAACACAGCTACTTGAGGGTGGGCTGGTTTCCCCTCCCCTGATAAAATCACAGTTGCTCTGAATATGAAGTGCCAGCAGGACTCGGCCTCCCACCCAGTGCCAATCAGTGGAGCTGGCCTGGCGCCCCCTTCACCCCAAGCCTTGCAAGGCGGCTGCTGTGCAGAGATTGTGGGTTCTTTGTGTGCTCCTGGCCTCATCCATGCTTGGCAAGTGGGAGCTCTGATTAAGGCTGAGGGAAGGGGGGGCAGCAGACAGAGCAGATTGGCTTTGCCTGGTCCAAAACTCTCTATCTGGACAAAACCCGGCCCAGGAAGTGACAAGGGGTGTGTGTGTCTCCACTCATGGAGTGAAGAAGCAAGATCATCTATTGTGGTTCCCTATGAAGCATCTACACACACACACACACACACACAGTCTGAGCACCAGAGCTGCTACAGTGTTGGAAGAGGCCAGTGGTGTGATAGTCTTGGGTCTCTGCTAGGAATCGGAGCCTTTGGAGGTGGAAGGGAAGCCCCAGGTGCAGCGAGCCTGATGGAGCACCGAGGTGTCTAACAGGACCTCCTACCCAGGACAGGCAGGACCCTCTGCTGGATTTGCTCTTCACTTCCCCCACCTCCCAGGGTCTGCGGGCAACCTCTGGCCCTCCCTGCCTATTCTGGCTGCCAGGTCTGGGCTGCAAACCTCCAAGGATGCATTAGATGTCTGCGGATCCCTCCGTCATCCTGGAGTTGGGATCAGAAGGACCTGGAGCAGCTCCCTGTCCAATATAGGATCCAAAGGAACATCTGCAGGACTTCCAGCATTTAAGCACTCCAGGGGAAAAATACTGTAAAATCTCCATTTCCTCCCCATCAACTCGGACTTGGGAGGCAGAGAATAGATTGGGGCGGGGCAAGTCAAAGGTGGTATTTATCGGTTCTCCGAACTACTCAACATTTCTGCTACCGGTTCTCCAGAACTGGTTAGAACCTGCTGAAACCCATCTCTGCTCGGTGGGCATCACTGCTGGAGCCCTTTCCTACTGGGGAGGGGGCGGGCAACTTCTGGGAGGCTGAACTTCGGGAGGGGCCCACCTCGCAGGGCTGTTGTAGCAAAACGGGAGGGGCTCCTCCATTCCCCCGCCCCCTCCGGCCAAACTTGGCTTTCCCCGAGGCCCCTCCCCTCCCACGGACCGCCCCCAGTGCGGGCCCAGCCTCCCATTTGGCCACCAAATGGCCGTCTGTATCCTCGCCCCGCCCCTCCTGCCGAACCGTCGAGGTCCGCGGGGGTGGGGGGGAGATAGTCCGCCCTCCTCGGCGGCGCTGGAGCGGATTGGCCAGGCGCGCTGTCGGTCAGGTGCTCGGGGCCGGCGGCCTCGGCGGGGCTGCGTCGCGGGCAGAGCGGGCGGCGGCCGAGCGGCGGCGGAGGAGCCGGTGAGGCGGGCCGTGGGCTGCGGCGGGGTCTGCGGGGCCGTGGGGGCCGGGAGGAGGGGTCTCCGGGCCCTGAGAGTGGGGGTCCTCCTGGCCGGGCTGCTCCGCTTCCCTCTGCCCGCCGCCTCTCAGCGCCGCCCGGCCGAAGGGTGGGCAGCTCCCGGCCCAGCGCGGCGACCCTCGATGTAGGCGGACCCCGAGGTCTGTTCGTGTCCCCCCGCCTCGGGTTGCGCCCCTCCCCGGGAATGGCTGGACCTCCCCCGGCTTGTTGGACCCCGAGGCGCCCCCCGAGTCCCCCCTTTCCCCGGCAGAGCGCCCCGGCCCCTCCCTTCGGAATCCCGCCCAGATCCTCCGGGTTGGCATCCCCCCACCCCAAGCGAAGCTCCAGACCCGCCTCGGCCCCCAGAAGAGAGGGGAGGCCTCGATGCTGCCGCCCAGGCGGCCTCGTCCCACGCCGGATCCCCTCCTCGGGATCCTCTTGAATCTCCAGGCGGCCCCTAAGGCGTTTGCTGCCCCCCCCCTTTCTGGCCTTTCTCTCTCAGCCCCTGCTTGAATCCACCTCTGGGTAGCATCTCCCCTCTTCTCTAGTAGGAACCCCCCCCCCGCCCAGTGCCTTGCTGAAGCCTAGGACAAAGGAGGTCCAAAAGGATGGGGCTGGAGGGGTGGCTTCTTCCTGGTCAGCTCCCTTGGCCTGCCAAGCAAGAGTTTCTCTGCCCCCCCCCATCTCCCCGTAGTATCGGGTATGAAGCTGTAGTGAAACAGACTCTCTCTTGGGGGAGGGGGCATTTGCTCCCATCCTCTAGCGCTTTGCCTGGCTCCCCCGTTCCTCCCAGGCTCTCTGGTGTCTCCTGTCTTGGCATCCCTCTTCTTGCCCTTCTCTCTTGGGCCGGTAGCCCTTCCGGGACCTGTTTGAACCCTGTTCCTAAACTGCTTCGAGTGGCACAGATGCTGATACTTCCAGTCAAAATGGCAACACCTGTGTGATGTTATCCTCACACAAACACCACAATTAGGTACTTGTGTCCTGGTCTCTGCTAGATGTGCCATGAGGTTTGCATGACTGCATCATCACGCTTATGCCCCCATTCACGGCCCCTCCCCCATGTTTTCCTACCAAGCGGAACCCTCCTGGCTCTCTTTGCCCCAAAGATTCCTACCCCACGGAGCAAAGCTTCCTGCCCAGCTCTCCTGGAACCGAGCGAGGGAGCGTGTGCGCTGTTTTTGGCTTCTTCTTCAGACAGGATCAGATCTCGGAGCACGGATCCTCCAGTCATGTGCTTGGGAAACAAGGTCCATCAGGACTCATGCCTGAGTTGGCTTTCACGGTGGGGAATGGGCTGGCCTCGGGGGTGGGGGAAGCCACACATTTTTGGGGTTGCTCCCCCCAAGGTTTGCTCAAGGATCTAGTCCAAGGCTTTAGCTGTCTTTTGTGAAATGCGACGGGGTCTGTGAGTTTGAGGCCAAAATCCTGTTCATTATGTGCTCATCCTTGCCTACAATTAAGTTTGTGTCTGCAATGGGCACTTTCCCTAAGCCCGTTTTGTCAGTGGCTCTCTTAACCTCCCTCTGCCCAGGAGGAAAGAGGAGGCTGTGGGTGCCCTGGGGAGGCTTCCTTTGCTCGCTCTTGATCTCAGGAAGCGGAGATCCGGAGTGGTCTTATGTGCTGTGCGGGCTCTCCGGAAGCTCTCCTGCCCCTCTGCTCTTCTTCCCCGGCACCTGAGCCTTCCTCCTCTTTCTCCCCGCCTGAGGTGGATGTCCAGGGTTGGGACCCTCACATTCTCCAGCCTCTCTCTGAGCAGAGCAGGGAGGAACAAAAGCTCTCCCCTCTGATGCCCTCCCTCTGCGGGAACAAAAGGCTCAGCTGTGATTGCACTGAGGAGCAGCAGGAGCAGGAGCAGGAGCAGGACATGGATGGCCTGGGGGTGGGTGGGGAGGTCCATTTCGGCTTCCTCCTCCTCCTGGCTGAGCACTTTGCTTTTGTGGCTCTCCTTCTCCTCCTCCAGTTAGATCGCCGAAGCCCCCTCCTCTCAGGCACCCATCCATCCTCCACCCAATTGCTCTTCAGCTTGCTCCAGGAGGGGTAGAGGGCGCATGGCTCCTGCTGTGTTCCAGAGAGGGGGAGGCTCTTCCTAAGGGTCTGGTGGGCAATTCAGCAAAGGCCTTTGTGGCAGCCTTGAGTCTGCTGGCCCTGTGTCACAATCCCAAGGCTCCCCTTGGCTTTCTTGGGGGTTCTGGCAACTGAAGTGCCATAGGAGGCAGTTGGAGGAAGAGAAAGAACGAATCTGACCCAATGCCCACATTCTGGATTCCAGGGCAGACTCAATGGACCGCGAGATCTTTTTCTGCTGTCGGGTTTCTGTGTTCCTAATGAGAGCGACAAAGTCGGTTTCTCCGCTGTTGGCCTCTTGGTGATCTGTTCCTTGCTGGGACAGGAACATCTTCGGAGCTTCTGGGAAGAATATTGCAGCCGCCTGACAGGAAAAAAAATCCACTGAAGTCCACCTGGAGTTTAGGGGCAGTGCCCGGAGGATGGTCTCAGGAGCTGGTCTGGGATGAGTTTAAGCCCGGTGGTCCTCAAGGCTGGGGACTCAGCCAGGTCCCTCCTGGGTTATTAAACCCGCCCAGGAGCAGCTGGGCCCATCCGGTGGCCTTGGCTTCCGCTGCAGTACTGGGTGGCACTCGTGGCCAAGAGGGGCTTTGCATGGGATGGGGGTCCATCCGATTCACCAGCTGCAGTGCTCCTGGATCAGGGGAGGACCCCCAGGTGGTCCCTCAACAAATGGACTGGGACAGCGCACTCTGTGGGAACCAGCCTTCACGACTCCTTCAAGAATACACAGCTGGTCCAGAATGGGGCACCCTGGGCCATATGAGGTGGCACTGCTGCTCCCCAGCTGCACTTCACTGCACTTCCGGTTGGCCTTTGAACACTTTCTACCTCTCTGAAACCCCTCCTGGGGTGGGCCTGGTTCCTTGAGGGACTGCCTGCCCCCTGAGAGGCATTCTGCCAAGACAGAGGCTTCATTAGTATTTCCTGCTTTTCAGGTTGTAAGCTGGTCAGAGTCTTATGGTGCTGGCCAGTCTCTAAACTCTACACAAATAAATAAGAGGGAAAGATGTGAGAGTGACCTGAAGACTAACGGCATCAAAGGATCACAAGCGCACAGCCGAGGCTTGCAGAAGAGCTGCCGAAGAGGCCTCTGGGACCCCAGCAAAGTCAGGCGGTGCCTGAGAACCCACCTTGGAGCGTGGCCGAGTCTTCCGTGGGTTGGGCCGAGAGGTTCTTCTCGCGGCTCCGTGGCTGTTTCTGTTCATTTGCCCCAGTGGGACCAAGGAAGGCTCCCTTGGTCCCCAGGTCACTCTCTTGCACCCCCCTTCAGTGGGACAGGGCCACGGCCAGCCGGCCTCTGAGGCCCCATTCTGGTCTGCAGCCCAGCTGTGTTGGGTCTGACCCCACTGCCCAAATGGCCAAGCCGAGCCGTGCCAGGGACTGGTGGTTTGTGTCTTGAAATTTGCCTGGTACCTTTCCGTGCCCTTCCTGCTCTTTATTTGGTAGGCAGTCGTGCTTTCCTAAATTGACAGAATGCCAACTTCTCTCCCAAATTGTACAATATTATGGTGTCGGGTATTTTTATCGAAGTGTGCTTTCTTGAGGTGGGTTGAAAGGCAAGGAATCCTGCCAGCTCTTGGATATATTTCTTGCAGTCTCTCATTTGATACTTTCCCTGCCTCTTGGGGGAGATCACTCCGTCTGAGGTGTGATCAGTTTTTTCCCAAAGCTCTCTTCCTCTGCGGCCAGAAAAGTCTTGGGTTTTGTTTTGTTTTTTGAATCACTCACTGGTGATCCAGATTGAGCTGTACAGTGAGTCTATCTGGCAGATTTAAAAAAACCCTCCTTTCTGCAAAGGAAATGGGGGGGGGTTCCTTCCCTTCTAAGCTTGCTTTTTTTGGGGGGGACCCATGCCAGACCTGTGAAGCCTCATCATCTTAATTGAAAGATGTAAGTGAGAAAGCGCTTGTGGTCTGTGGGGTGGTGCTGGCTGCTACTGTGGGGAAGCGAGATTAGCCGAGATCCACAGCTGGTGGATCGGAGAATTGGCTTACTTTGGGTCTCTAATCTGATCCAATTAGTTGATCTTGTTCAAGGCAGGCTGCCTGCCTCTGCGGCTGCGGCCAACTGACTCCTCTCCCAGTTGGAAGGCAGCTTATTCTGCCTTCGGGCTCATCCCCCTAAAGCTCCCAAAGCGGTCCCCCCCCCATTGCAATGAGGCTCTGTTCAGGGCTGGACTCCCTGACTGGTTTCCATTGGGAAATGGGTGGGGGGAAACTGAGCTGGGTGGGGTGAGGAGAGGGGCTCCAGAGGCCGGCCTGAGATGTGGTGCCGTCTTGTTGCCCAGGCCTGAGTGTGGGCGCATGTGGGAATTGCACACTTGAGGATCTTGCTTCCTCCCACCTGGGCTGTTCTCTGGGGAAACAAACAAGGCCGGTTGGTTCTGTGGGCACAGCCAAGGAGACGGGAGCAGCAACGAGGGCTGGTGGGACCTGGCCCTTTCCCCAGAGACATGGAGGGCGTCCCCTTTGCCCCCCACTTAGGTGCTGCAGGGGGCTTCCTTGGGAGGAGGAAATGGGCACTGGCCCTTGCTCTGCCAGGGCAGGAGGGCCTCCTGCGAGTTGTTTTGGACGGCTTCCTTTGCCCAGCGCTATTTCAGCGTCTGGACCCCTTGTGTTTGATCCTGTCTGGGGGCTTCTGGGAAGTTGTGCCATTCAATGTGAAGGCACCATTTTTTCTGTCCCAATGTGACTTTTATTTGTTTTATACTCTGCCCAAGGGGTAGCCCTAGAGACCTGCACTAGGAGTCCCTGCATACCTTCCTTGCATAAGAATTCATTGATCATCTCTTTAGATTCCATCTGAAAGTTCCCCTCTGAAGGAATTGGCCTCAAGGGAAACGGGGACCCACCCCGGGTCTTCTCTCCATTTTCATGCTTCTCTTTTGAGGTGGCCCCAGGCAGCCTTTGCTGCTGCTGGGGGACCCTCCTGTGAACCCCACTTTCTGTCCGGATTCCGCCTCTGCTTAAGTGGAGCTCTCAGGGCTGCCTAGCCTCTGCCCCACCCCCCCTTTCCCTGGGCAGCTTGGGATGTGGGCCACGGGAGGCGATCCACGCAGAGGGAGCCATCGTCCAGCTTTTGGGGTGACACCTCTCTGCCCTGGCACAGGACTGCGACTGGTGGGAGTTGTAGTGAAAACCAGGGGTGGATTCTACTTACCTTTACTCCCGGTTCGGTAGTAAATTGATTCAATCAATTTAAATTGATTCAAATTGATTCATATCTTTGTTTTGCTCTGGCCCTTCTAGGAAGGCAGCCTCTGCGGTGCCCTTGGAGTCTGAAGGAGGGGCTTCCTTGACAGGTAAGGCACTGCCAGTCTCCCCATTGCATGCACCCGCTTGTTCACTCTCCTGATGGCACAACAAGGGGGCTGGCCAGAAGGAGGGGGCCAAAGAGAGGAGAGGAGAGGAGACAGGCGAGCTGACAGATCCAGCTGGAGCTCAGTCCGGAGGAGCAGAAGCAGCCTGGAAGAGTGTGGACCCAGGAGGCCGTGGGACCAGTCCCAGTGGCGGGGGGGAGCTCTGGCCTGAGCAGCTGCTTGCAATTTTGACTAAGGAATGGGAAGAAGGAGAGGAGGGTATAACTTAAATCACAACCCCCTGGCTCAAGGAGAACCTGCCAAAGACCCCTTCACCCCCAAAGGACAAATGGCTGCTCTCTAACAGAAGCACTTATGGGGCTGTGAAAATAAATTTGGGGGACAAGAGGGGAAGACAGTAGTCTGAGTCTTGTAGAGAGAAGAGGAAGGGGTGTGTGGAGCAGTGTCTCTGAGGGGACCTTCCCTAAATCTCGGGTGGGGGGAAGAGGGGGGAGGTGTGCTTTCAGACTTGCCGGATTCTGTTGTTGTAGCCTCAAAACAAAGGCAACGTTGCAGCTCACAGGTTCGGTTTCCTGTGTGGACTACCTCGCAGGGCTGACAGGCTGGTCTTGGCCGCTGGCCAACAAGCGAGTCTCCTCCTAAATCTTGGCCAGACTTTTGGCCCTACAGTCAGGGCTGGGCACCCTTGGGATGTGGGGCCTGCAACCGTATCGATCTGCCCGCTGATGAGGGCAGAACTTTTCCAAGGGTTTGACCCCGGATGGCCCCCATTATTTGCTTTATTGCTCCTGTTTGTATCAGATTTCTAGAAGGCTCTTGAGAGGGAGCCAGGGCACGTTGAGGAAAATAAATTCTTTTTACGGGCTACTTGTAATAGGGAGAAGGAGCCATCATTGGGGGGTTTGTCTTGACCAGGGATGCTTTGCATTCTTGGCTGGCAATTTGGGTTTTTTAGAGAAATGGCTGCTGGGTTTGTTTAGGCAGGTCGTCGTGGCTGTTGCTTCCCTTCAGTGCCTTCCCCTGGTCTCCTGCCTTCAGGAAGCCATTGAGGTGAGGGCTTCAGGGCTTGTGAGGCGATGGGCATCAGATCCCTCTGGGTTTCAGCCTGGCCCTCTTATCCCGCTGGTCTCCTTGCATGTGAGGTAGCTGAGGCCCTCTGGCACAGCTAAATGTTTTCAGCCACACCCAGGCTGCTTTTCGGAGGGGGGGGAGGCTTTGCTCAGACCGGCAGAGCCTTTGGGTTCCTCTGTGCTGCTCCTCCTCTTCGGGGCCTCTGACTTGGAGGCATGCGGGAAGGGTCTGGCCGCTGAAGAGACTTTCCAGGGGGCAAGTGTGTTGAGTGACCTCCTGGATGGGAGTGGGCTTCCGCCCTGGGTGATCTGTGCCACTCGAGGACCTTTGCAGTCTGGTCCCAGGTGGGGTTTTCATTTCTCCTTATTTGAATTGTGCCACAGTCTGTTCTGCCTTTGAGGAGCCCCCCCCGTTCCCCCATGAAGGCGGCCCTTGGTTCTTCTCTCATAACCCCCCCCCCCCCGCTGAAAAGGAGCCAGTTTCCCCTTCAGACTGGTCCCCTCAGAGCAGGGCTGGCGGAGAGAGGGAGGGAGGGGCGGCTGCTTGTGTTTTGTTGAAGCTGAGAGCAGGAAGGTGGTCGCACTCCTTGGCCCGGGGTGGGGGGGTGAGGGGGGTGAGGGGGAGATGGATCTCAGTCGGAGAGGGATCTAATTTGCGCAGGGGGTGGGGGGAGCGTTGCACGAGAGATGTGTGTTTCTGTATGACATGTGCCGCCAGGGGGCACTGCGCACCTGTGTCTCCCCAGCTGGGAGGCTGTTCCTGTCCTCCAGGGGCTTTGGCTAGGTGGCTGGTGGTCCATGCATACGCGGCTCTGAGCCCTGCCAGACCTTTTGGCTTTTCCCACAGAAACACATAAGAGTGGTAGTAACAGAAGTGTCTCCTCTGAGGCTGGCAAAAGAAAGAACTATTCCAGTCCATTTTCAAGTCTGTTTTTCACCCACACAAGACTAAAACAAGCCTTCCCAAACTGCTACATTAGGACTTCAGTTTTGAAGAGTAGCATTCAAAGCTTGAAAAGAAAATTGAAAAGATATCATTGGCTGGTTTGGGAGAAACCAAATTTGCTTCCGGAGAGTCTGGGAGCAGCAGCCCAGGAGGTGAGTTTCTGTGCCTGCAAAGAGATGGGAGAGACGGGGCTATTGAAGGAGGAGCCCCTGCAGAAGCCCCCTGCCCTGTTACGGTTTAGAGTGGGCTCAAGTACCTGTCTCCTCCCAGGCAGAAGGAAGAGGAAGGCTGCTTTGATGCTGCAGGGCTGACCTCCAGCCCCCCAACACTGCGCAGGCCTGAGGGGGTCTTGGAGCCTCTGGACCAGCTCTAGAAACATCCTGGAGCGTCAGATGCTCTCCCTCCCTCCCTCCCTCCCTCCCTCCCTCCCTCCCTTCCTTCCTTCCTTCCTTCCTTCCTTCCTTCCTTCCTTCCTTCCTTCCTTCCTTTCTCTCTCTTCCTGGTAGGGTGGCGGGGGTAGTCCTGGTGGTTAAGAGACTCACACAAGCAGTGGAGTGTGGGGTGGGTGGGTCACATTGTTTTGGGTTGCGCCAACCTCACCGGAGGGGGTGGGGGTGGCAGGCATATCCCACTTTGGAAAATGGGTTGCTGTGGAAAATTCTACCTAGCGGACTTGGTTGGTTATCAGGCTGCTTTGCGACATGAGGGGTGTGTGTGTGTGTGTGTGTGTGTGTAAAGCCTCGCATCAAAGCAGGAGCTGGGTTCTGGGCAGAATTTCCTGCAGGCGGCTTGTTGCGCTCAGGAGCACCCGTGCAGCTTCCGGGGAAGGGCTGGGGGTTCAGCAGGGGGGCTTTCCTGCAGGGGGTCCAGCTGGGCCACATCTCTGCCCATGCAGAGGACTGGCAAGCCTCAGTGTTCTGGTGTTCCCCCAGCCAAAAATTGTGACCTCTCAGGGTAGCAAGCGAGGCCCTTTGGGATGCCAGCAGGACTGGGTCCCTCACCTGGGCCAAGATGGGAACATGTAGCTGGTTCCCCAGAAGATCACTGGGCTTGTTTTGGGCCAGGAAGGCTGAAGGGAGGCCAGCCTGGGCTCCTGCGTGAATTGCTTGGCCTCTCAGAAGGGGAACCCCCCCCCCCCGATAGGACCCTGGAATCCAAGCCTGGCGCAGGCTGTCAGCTGCCAGCCTCTGGGAGGGCTTGCTTTGCCATTTGCCCTCTGCCCAGGAAGGCGGGAGGGGGGTAGGGGGAGCTGGTTTGCCAGGAGCCCTTTAAGAAGCAAGGGGTCTGGGGGTCTCTCCTGCCTGCTTGATCCCCTCACCCAGCCCCTCTCCAGCCTGGCTGCTTTTCCCACCTGGGGTGGAAACAGTGGCATGGGCACATGGCAGGTCCCCGTGCTGGAGTTGGCATGACCTTGTTGGGGGCAAGTTGCAGGCCGAGCCCCTTGTGCCTGACAGGATCCTTTGACCAAGAGGGGGCCCCATTTGCTTGGGTTCGCAAGAGGCTCCCGGCCACCGCCTTAGCCGAGTCCCGCGTCTTGCCCTCCTGCTGTCACTCAGCTGCAGGTGGGCATCTCAGGAAGGGGAAGGTCCTCAGGGCTGCTGCATCTGTTTGACACTGAAGCCACAGTTAAAAATAAAAGCAATGTGGGTTCCCGAGGAGGAAAGGGGGAGGGCTAAGTTGGGATGTCATGACTGCAGAGAGTTTTCTGTCCTTCCTTTTTTTTTGTAAAGTTTTTTTATTTTTTAAACACACAAACAATCATACAATGCATATTTTCTGAACAGAATATTGGCCCGGTTTTAAATTTATACAGATTTTTGTTCATCTTTAACACAATTTTATATATATATTTAATTTATTTTATTTTATTTCGAATTTATATACCGCACCTTCTCCCGAGGGACTCAGGGCGGTGTACAGCCAGATAAAAACATACAATACAAACATTAAAAACAATTAAAAGGATATATATTAATTTGGCCCCAATTTAAGATAACAAACCAATTAAAAATATTTAAAAATATGTTAAAAAATATGTTAAGCCAGCCCGGCTTGCTGAAAAAAGAAAGTTTTAAGGGCACGGCAGAAGGCACCAAGGTCTTGGATTCTCCTTATCTCTGGGGGGCAGCTGATTCCAGAGGGTAGGTGCCCGCACAGAGAAGGCCCTCCCCCTGGGGGTCACCAGCCTACGTTGTTTGGCTGATGGCACCCTGAGGAGGCCCTCTCTGTGGGAGCGCACAGGTCGGTGGGAGGTCATCGATAGCAGCAGGCAGTCTCGAAGATTTATTTTATTTATTTATTTATTTATTTATTTATTTTATTGAATTTCTATACCGCCCTACTCCCGAAGGACTCAGGGCGATGAACAGCCATAAAATAAAACACATACATATACAAAATTTAAAATCGAATAAAATGAATTAAATAAATTTGGCTGAATTAATACCCATAATTTAAAATCCCCATATTTTAAAATACATTAAAATTTAAAATTTGCACTTAAAAGGGAGAAGATTTAGGCGAGGCCAGCTTGATGAAATAACAGAGTCTTCAGCTCGCGGCGGAAGGTGCGCAGATCCGGAATCCTCCGTATCTCTGGGGGGAGCTCGTTCCAGATCGTCGGTGCCCCCACAGAGATGGCTCTCCCCCTAGGGGCCGACAGCCGACATTGTTTGGCCGACGGCACCTGGAGGAGCCCCTCTCTGTGGGAGCGTACTGGTCGGTGGGAGGCTGTTGATGGTAGTAGGCGGTCCCATAAATAACCAGGTCCTAAGCCATGGAGCGCTTTAAAGGTGGTGACCAAGACCTTGAAGCGCACCTGGAAGACCACTGGGAGCCAGTGCAGCTCACGCAGGAGCGGTGTTATATGGGAGCGCCAGGTGGCTCCCGTGATTACCCGTGCGGCCGCATTCTGGACCAGTTGGAGCCTCCGGGTGCTCCTCAAGAGGAGCCCCATGTAGAGAGCG